CTATCCTCCCCAAAAAATGAGGCTCGAACAAGGGCGTATCATTGTCCCATTAATGTTTGAGAGCCATTAATTGTACAAAAAAAATTGCATTGAAATTTGGTGAAACTCATTGAGTAATACTATATAATACCATTAGCGTTTAGCATCAATTTAGATGACAGTATGATGGTTTAATTGTATGATAAATCAACGAATAATGAGGCTCTGGACTCCACTATTATCTATATCGATGCTAAATATGTATGTTGCTACAATAGCATTATTCAAAATAACAGAGAAAACCACACTCATATGTGTTGTAAAATAAACAAGATATTATAATCGCTTTGATACCACTTGTTGTGTTAATTATGTTCATAATCTCTGATACCAATTGTTAAGAATTCAAGGATCGCGTATTGCTCATACCACTTGATATGAAATCAACCATTAGATTGAGTTGTTGAAGTTATATGGCAAAATAATTAAGTATTTGATCACGAGTAAAAGAATAAAAGAAAACAAGAAAATATGGCAGAGGAATTAGGAAATTTTATTGCAACACAAATAATGAAGATAAAGAAATATTACAATAATCCTAAAAGCTAATAATCACTTTTCTCACTTCATAAAATTGTATAAAAGAGTCTAATATTTATAGACAACTATGTAGGACGACATTCAAACCCTAATAGATGAATTGTAGTTGAAGTAGAATGTCAAAAAGTGTTAACGCGCGAAACAGGCCTGAGCCGATAACCCTGTCGAGTGACAATCCGTTGTTCGAGCGTCAGGCGGGCGACCAAGTCTCGGGAGAAAACCTGTAGGTGTTGCTCGAGCGGCCAGCCAAAGGCAGGTTAGTGAAAATGTGGCGATTTTTCTTTCTGGTCCATAATTTCAACATTTTTAAGTTCAATACAAATTACAACTCCCAATAAGGTTTTCAAATAAAATTTCAACTTGGATAAAACTCAAATATCATTCTAAATTGAATTCCTTTTGACGTACACTTCAATTATAATTCTTCAATTATTTTAACAAGGAATTCGAGTCACATCCAAATTCTAACAATCTTCACATTGACATGAATTTCACTGCAACGAACAAATCTCCAAAATTTTCTCCACTTGGAGAAGAAAATCCGTATGTAAGGAATGAACGACTCTTCAACAATAATCAAAACCGAATTCTCTAACCAAACATAAAATACTCCACCTTGTTCCAATGAATCGAAGTACTACTCTACAAAATTACCTCAAATTCCCAAAAAATCATAATGATTTTAAAATTCACCAATTTGGGCTATAACGCACTCCAAAGCAGAATCAAACTAAAATGCTTTTAAAGAAGGCCCCTTGTTAGATTATACATATTCTACTACTTTGAAAGCATGCTCAACAAAATAAGCATCTACATACCTTTTTCCACTGGGTCCGTCCCTAGTAATTGAATACAATGACACCTTAGGTGATGGTGGCAAAGCGATATTATCCATATCTCCTTAACTCCACCGAACTATATTCTTCAAATCCGACCAAGCAATTGAATACAATGGCACCGCAGGTGATGGTGGCAAAGCGGCATTATCTATATCTCCTGAACTGCACTGAACGGTATTCTTCAAATCCGACCATTTATGAGCTCCTAAAGGTATTGTACCAAATTGAATATCCACCACGGTACTGAATTTGTGCTGATTGACTCTTCTAAATTATGCACAACCATGCAATAAGTATAATTGAGACATTTTCTGTCCATCAAATACAACTTGGGCACATTTACAAACCTTCAAAACTACACATCTACCAAAGAACTAATATCCCTTTGAATCAATGATAGACAACGAGATGAGATTCTTCTTCAAATCTGAAACATGTCGAACATGATCAAGTGTTCTAATTGTCTCATCCATAGCTTCAATTTGACTATACCAATTCCAGCAACCCGACAGGGTGTGTTATTTTTCATAACCACGACACATTTGAAAACGATTTCGTATATAGTAAACAAGTCATTATTAGGACACATATAAAACACACACACACACTGAATCCAGAATACAATCCTCATCTGGTTTAGACTCGATGTCAGAAATAGTCAAGATCTTCCTTACCTACAATGTTCTCTGTCTTCTTCACCCAAAATCTCTGACTACTTCTCATATCGACTTGCAGCCAACCTATCTTTATTTTGCAATTTGTAGCAATCATTCTTCATGTGTCCCTTCTTCTTGTAGAAGTTATGAATCTGATTACTAAACTTAGACTTGGATCTACCCCCGTCTAGAATTACCATGAGCAATAAGGCTTATCCATCACTAGCCTCAGATACCAAATACTTCATCTTCTCTTTCGAAAACAAATCATCATACACCTCCTCTATAGTGAATGTATCACAACTATACAAGATCGTGTCTCTAAATAAAGAAAATGAAGCGAACAACGAACATAAAATGATCAATGCCAAATCTTCTTCGTCATATTTTACTTCCAAAGTTTCCAGATCAACGACTACCTCCTTAAATACAACCGGTGATCTTCCAATGATCATTCTTCTGCCATTCAACGAGATTATAAGGGGGTGTTTTTTTTTATTTGGGAATTGATTCTCAAATCAATTCTCATTTTCAACCACACATTTTTCAATAAAGTAATATTTTCCATCACATCAATAATTGTTTCTTCTTTTTCAACCACACATATTCCANAACCACACATTTTCCATCATATTAATATTCAAAAATCAATTATTCCCCCAAAAATCCATACCAAACAAGCACTAAATGCTGCTTGAGATGCAACATGCTTATCTAACTTTTAGTCATGTACAATTGCTCCAACTTTAACCATAAAGCAGCAGTTGAACCCTAATTCAAAACGTCCTGGAAAAGGGTATTCGATAGATGAAGATGAATGTGAGAAACTGTCTTTTTATTCTTTCGTAATTTCTCATCCGCAATTAAAGTTGTGGGCATCTTGTCAATTCACAATAACGTATTATCTAAATCCTAACGTGTGAGTATCGCACGCATCTTAATCCGTCATAGCGAAAATTTAGTGCTCTAATCCAAAATCGAAATGTCATATTTCATGGAAGCCATCATGAAAGAAAATCTCAAACAAATCAAACTCTACGCTCTTGAGGAACTTCTGAACCTAGGCTCTGATACCACTTTTTGTAAAACAAACAAAATACTAGTTTCGCTCTGATACTACTTGTTGTGTTAATTATGCTCAAAATCTTTAATACCAATTGTTGGGAATTTAAGGATCACGCATTACTCGATACCACTTGATATGAAACCAACAATTGGATTGAGATGTTGAAATTATATGGCAAAATAATGAAATATTTGATCACAAGTAAAAGAATAAAAGAAGACAAAAATATATGGTAAAAGAATTAGGAGATTTTATTGCACCACAAATAATGAAGATGGAGAAATATTACAACGATCCTAAAAGCAAGTAATCACTTTTCTCACTCCATAAAATATAGAAGAGCTTAATATTTTATAGTCAAACCCTAATAGATGAGCTGTAGTTAAAGTATAATATCAAAAATGTGTTAAAACGTGAAACGAGCCTAGGCCAGATAACCCTGTCGAGCGACAAGCGAGTGACTAAGTCTTGGGAGAAAACCTGCAGCTATTGCTCGAGCGGCCAATTTGCGGTAGACTAGCGAAAATGCGACGAAATTTCTTTCTGTTCCATAATTTCAATATGTTCAATTCCAATACAAATTCCAACTCTCAATAGAACTTCCAAATAAAATTTCAATTTGAATAAGACTCTAATAACATTTCAAATTGAATTTCTCTTAACGTGTACTTCAATTACCTCAACAAGAAATTCGGGTGACACCCAAATTCTAACGGTATGCATATACGTGCCATTAATATATGGAAATCAAACCACGTGTACAGGTGAATGTGACAGGTATATGCTTAAGGTACATGTGTGGTCATTGCCTAGGATGAGAAGATGGAAGAGATTGAGTGTTTGTTTGGTAGAGATTTTTGAGAGAAGAATTGATTTTTGAATAGTGATATGATGGGAAATGTGTGGTTGAAAAAAAAGAAAAAATTATTAATGTGATGGAAAATATTATTTTATTGAAGAATGTGTGGTTAAAAATGAGAATTGATTTGAGAATTAATTCTCAAAATTAGAAACAAACACTCCCTTAGTACTAATAATATTAAATATCTATTTTTATTTTGAAATAGAGTACGGTTAATGATAAACTTTAATTAATTGTCTTATATTTGTTATGTCATTTCATGGTTATATTAAGGCAAATTTTTTATTAGATTATAAGTTGTGGTCCTATAAAATGAATGGAAGGCAAGAATTAGATCGATTTAATAGGAATAAAGTTATATATCTATTTTTTATTTTGAAATAGAGTACAATGAATATTAATATTCTTATATTTGTTTTGTCGTTTCATGGTAAGTTGCGGAATTTTTTTTATTAAATTATAAGTTGTGGGTCCTATAAAATATATGAACAATAAGTATCTAGATAAAAAAAAAAAAAATGATCAGCATTATAAGCTTTGCCAAACATGCACTAAGTGCAACATTTTTTTACAAATTATTGACTTTAATGGAAGTCATTGAAATTTATATATGTTTTATTTTTGAATTAATAAAATTTTGATGGATTTTCCAAAATAACATATAAATAAATGTGGCATGCTATGCATACATAAAATTTGGTATATAGGGTGTCCACACCCTCACATGAGGTGAGATCCATTTTATGTACACCGAGAATTACTCTAAATAAATATAAGAAACAGTTGGTTGGACACTTCAAATACGGACATCAAAAACATGCAATCCCCGTCCAAGAATAAGTGAAAATCCGGCCGATGATGTCTCCTAAAATACCCGACTTCCATTTACTGCCATATGCCTCCCCTAAATTTAGAGATCACCTCTTCTTTTTTTTTCATACACAATTCCTCCATTCAATTTCTCTCGCAAACCCATATCTTCTTCAAATCAGAAAACAATGCATCAAATTCAAGCCATGGCTTCTTCTTCAATCAAATCGCCATTAATTTTCTTCTTTGTGATCTCTCTTTTCCTCCGAGGAATATTTGGTACATCTCAATCTCTCTCTCTCTCTATTATTATATATATAAATTTGTGATTTTGATATTATTATAATAATTATTATTTTTTAATCAGCTGAGGTGATTTGCGATAACCTGCCATCGAATTTTTGTTCATTTGCAATTGCGTCGTCGGGGAAGAGATGTGTGTTGGAGAAATACAGAAACGACGTCGGAAAGTTGGAATACACATGCAAGACATCGGAGGTGGTTGTTGAGAGAATGACTGGATATATAGAGACCGATCAATGTGTAAAAGCCTGTGGTGTTGATCGGAGCTCTGTCGGAATATCCTCAGATGCCTTACTTGTACCGCAATTCACCCAAAGCCTATGCTCGCCGGCGTGCTATCGGAATTGCCCAAATATTGTTGACCTTTATTTTAACCTAGCTGCCGGAGAAGGGGTATTTCTACCTCGTCTTTGTGAGAAACAAAAGACCGAGCCTCACCGTGCCATGATGGAGCTTTTGAGTAGTGGTGGCGTTGCCCCGGGTCCCGTGGCTGAAGAACCTTCTGGTTCTTACGTCGCCGATGAATCAGATTCCTCGCCTTTTTAATTATTTAATTTGAAAAATGATTGATGATTTATCCTCACGATTTTTACAAGTATTGTAAATGAAATTATTGAAGAACATTAATTGCATTGTTTTTGGATTGGGTTTGCGGAATTGAAAATTTTCAATTAATTACATGTTTGATTTTCGCCTTCTATTACTGTAAATAAATAAATAAGTAACTAAGGCGTTGAACAAAATTACTCGAACAAACATCGACATCTTTTTATCATTATTTCACCACAATAACTTATCAAACTTATGAAAAAAGTAAAAATGAAATCATGATTACAATTATCGGAATAAACAATCAAACTAACAACAAAACAATAAATAATATTTCACAAGAATATTAACATTTAGGAAGATCTGGGGGAGGTGGAGGCAAGGTTGTCGACGGTGTTGGTCCATTCTCCACGACGAAAGCAGTAGCAAGACCCCAAGGCAAGTGCACGTCCAAGTGACAATGCATCAACCATACACCTGAAATGTATCACGATATGCAACTTTCACGTACAGATATAGTGATATAAAAAATATAATTAAATAAATAAAATATTAATTAACCTGGATTATTTGCTCGAAATCTAACCACGGCCCATCCTCCAACCGGCACACCAATGGTATTACGCTTTTGTGGGTTTACAAAGTTGAATTTTCTGCTGTCTCGAGTCCTATTGAAGTTGCCAAATCCTTGAGCCAAAACGTAGAAGTTGAATCCATGCAAGTGTATAGGATGATTTTCGATCCCAATTAAAGCTGTATTCTGCATCACAATCTCTATCGTCGCATTATATTTGACTTTCTTCACTTTCGTTGATTTTGTAGTCATTATGATTGCTTGATTCAAGCTGTTATTGGGGTTTGTGTAATCAAAACTCAATGGTGGATTATCAGGAAAATCAGTGGTATAAACTCCACCAACGTCGTTGAAAAATGCCTCCAACATCGACGATTTATTGGGAAGTTGGAATGATGCGTTATTCATGCTAGCAGCAAATCTTTGCCCAAGTGGGCCTGGGCAGGATGCGTTCCCTGGACCTCCACATGCAACCAAGCCCAGCCCAACAGTTATAAACATGTGTTCGTCAACGTCTCGTGGTACGTGGGCCCAAAAAGGCCCAGTAAGAAGCCCAGTTAGATTGCTAAAAAATTTGTGGGCTGTGGGTGTGTCATTAAATGCTGGTAGGACAGGCATTTTAGGGGTGGATTGGGTAGCACCATTGTAGACTATAATCCCTGTCGTTGTAGTGTTATCAAATTGAACACCTGCTGCACTGGCATAAGGATTTGCTGCCATATAGTACAACCCCGGTGGTTGATCGGCTTTGAAGAGGACATCGGTGGTTTGTCCAGGACCAGTTACCACGACGTCAGTGACGTAGGGGTTCGTGTACAAGGCATCGACTGCAACCACAGTCATTTTGTGATCGGCTATCTTGAAAAATAGTTGATTATTGAGTGCAGCGTTAATGATTCGTAAAAGATATGTTTTTCCGTGTACCACATTTAGCCGAAATGTCTCTGCAACAAAGAATAGTGCCTTCTTCTAATTAACAAACTCTACATGTAAAAAATACTTAAAATTAATTGAAATCTATATTATATTAATTATATATGACGTTACTTACTATTTGAAGAGCATGGGTAAAGATCCCCAGGCTGGCCATTGATTGTGTACGCATCTGATATATTGGGTGCATTGCCGGAGGCTAGAGCTTCATTCTCCACATCAATAACGTTAGCATTCCACCATTCTCCTGCAATCGCATATATCTTCGCCATTAGAAAAAAAAAAAATCGAAATCGAACATCTAAACAATTAATACAATATATTATAAAGAAACAAGAACATGAGTTAATTACCAAGGAGAATTGGGACTTCCTTGTGTGGCTTTGGAAATGGATATGACCGGCCTTCTCTGGGTCGGATAATTAAAGCTCCATAAACCGTGGCCCGGAGCCATTGAACGTGTGCATGCCACCAGAGAGTCCCTTCTTGCTTTGTAATATTAAACCTGTACGTGTAACTGTGTCTGGGCCGGATTGGACACTGGGTCACAAATTCGGGTCCGTCAGCCCACCCGCTGAGTAACTGAAAAACTCCATGCCTGTATAGATGATTAATCACGAATTATATTTTAATTTTATCTTTTGCCAATGATAATAATAGTGAATTAAAATAATCTTCAAAAGTTTAGAAATGGACGGAGTCTCCGAATTTCAAGTGCCTTTTGACTTTAAGAATATTTTATCAAGAAGAAGATACGATCATTTTGTTTATATATGTTAGTTTGACTAGTAGAAAAACAAACATGACATTTAGTTATACGATATTTGATAATAACTAGATTGTCAAGTTACTTTTTTTGTGAATCAAACTAATATTTACACACCTTTATTTGTATTTCACATAACATTTCGTATAACCCACTGCTTAAAATTTACAAATTTACGAGGAAAAAAAATCTTACCAATGAATAGTGAGGTTGTAGGGAGAGAGGTTAAAAACGTGGATGACAAGCGTATCGCCCTCTCTTACACGAAGAGTCGGGCCTGGAAGACTTCCGTTTACTGCAGTAATCACTCGTGTGTTGCACAGTCGGTTGACAGTAAGATTTTCCACCTATATAACGAAAATTGCATGTTAACACAAGTACTCGATTTCATGTCAAATTAAAACAATGGTTGAACTTCATGTTAGATAATCAAGCACAAATGTCACGTAGTTGTGGACTTTACAGTACTGAATTAAAAAAATTATCTATGATACTCGAAAGTATTAAAAAATTACATGAAACGAATGCTCTACGATTGCAGCCGAAGCGAATGAAGAAGCCAAAAGAACTAAAGCAAATCCCAGCAAGAAAACTTGGCGTGTCATCTTGAAAGAGAAAAACTAACTTAAACAAGAGATTAAGAAAATCATGCAAAAGATAGAAGAGAAAACCCTCTTTTTATAAGAGAAAAATCTCCATCGGTTGCGTGAAAAAAAAGAAGTACATTTGAAAATTGGTTTAGTTGTGTTAGAGAAAATTTCGTTACCTAACTGTTTAGAATGCATCAAAGATAGTATTAAAAATAATATTGGAGCTAAGTTTTGCTCTCTCTGATTGGTGATCTTGACTGGTTCTTTTGTGGAAGTTTCCATTTTCCTTTTACTATGTTGGAGTAGGTAAGTAAATAGTCAATAATTATATATTTTCACCTTTTATAAATAAGAAATTCATTTGTTTCCTGATTTATCATGAACTGCCTTTTTTGTGGCACTATTGCTGCAAATGATGAATAGCATTACTCTAATAAGTTTTAGTGCACTAACACCCTCGCAATAAAATGGAGAAATGTTTATCTAACTTGACATAGTGATTCATACAAAAATTATCAAGTCAAATAAATCGTTACGATATTTGATCGACGTGTTATATTAAATGTAGGTTATTTTTCATTATTACAATTCAATTATTTCAATAATACCTTACTTTTCATTTTTCAATATGTATTTAATTTACAAACTTTAATAAATAATATAATTAATTCACAATTAATTAATATTCGCATTCATTTAATTAATATTAATTAGAATTTCGTTCACATTCAGTTTATTATTCACGTCCATATACGCTAATTAGCATTGAGTTTCACTTAATTGAAAATTAAATTATATTCATTTAATAAAAATGATTTAACATAAAATATTTAATATTCAAACATCAATTCAAGTGATAATTATTTTTTGGATGAGAATCATTTTTTGGACAATTATAATCATACTACAATTCAATTATTTCAATAGTACTCTAACTTTCATTGGTATTAATCTAAATTAATTAATATTCACGTTAATTTATGTATCGTATTTGTCATTCATCTCCATTTATACATTTAGTTGTAATTCTAATACTCACATTCAGATATATATTTCACTATTTACGTGCATGTATAATAATTAAGATTTATTTTTAGGGGTTTGCATTTTTCTCATATTTAAATAAAAATGGTAAATGAATGATCAAATATTACTTTCATAACACTTATAAAACATTTCAGAATAACGTTTCAACTCTAACTAGTATTCTTAAATATACTCATTTTTTATCCAAAATTATACATTTTTATTCGTTATGTTCATATTCTTTTCTTCCACGGAGCTTTCTTGCAGAAAAGAAAAGAAGAAAAATCATCGGCAATAGATACCAATAAAATTATGCATGCATTCTTAACCTTAAACGGATAAGAAATTGACTTTTAGCTGCAAAATAACGACTAATATAAAAAAAATTATTTTAATTCATAAAACAAAAAATTATTACTTAGAAGATAGCAATAAAGAATTACAATTTGTCTTTATAGTATTGACAGTATTTTCTATATTAGTAAAATCAATTGTAGACAAATTTGTTCCTTAGCTAATCATCCATATGACCATATCTTGTCATTGCAGTGTGAAATTCGTGTACTAAATGATATTGAATTTGTTGTTTTAAATTTCAAGATTGTTGAAAAACAGTTGCCCTGTATATCACGTAACCTCGGGCCATTCAACCAATTCAACCTTCCTTCCACAACAAGACAACCACTTTTGTAGAAAAAAATTTAAACGAATACGTATAATAGCATGTACTTAAGCAAACGAATTAATCAATAAAATTATTGAAGTATTATAATTTAGAATCTTGTTCAAAATCTCCGTTCATTCAAAATAATATTCATGGGAGAGAGAAGACCTGATCTGGTAATAACCCTACAATGTACACTTCCCGTGTGAGAATTTTTTTAATGATTAGATTGCTTGTAGTTTAGTTCATTTTGTAATAGATTATCCACATTGTCCAAATCATCCTCTTATTGCCAATCTAAGTTGTATTCTTGGACCCCTTTTTGGCACAACTTCTATTTTCGCTTCTAAACTTTTTGTAGCAAAAATTCTTGAAAATGCTCCTTTAGGCCAGGTTCTTTTAAAAACTCTTCTAGTAAGATAAAATACTTCAAAAAATTATTCAAACAAAAGTAAATTTTTTAGTCTCAAAAGCAGTTTTTGACTCTTCAAAAGTCAGTCAAACGGGCTTTTAGTCTATCAGTTTATATATATATATATATGATCATGGATGTCTGGACCAACTTATGCGCACTTTGATTAATCCCATGGGACCCTAAAGTTTACAGTATGATACTCATCTCAGTGGTCCTGAAAGGACTCGAATTGGTGACCACTGATCATTGGAGAGTAAACTCAAAGTCTGACCAATTGAGCAACCCTTCAAGGTTAGTCTGTTAGTTTACAAATTCTGTACGCGTAAAGAGACATGTTGAAGAATTATAATTTTATTTTTTTATTTTTTCTTAAAGTTTCAAATAGACGAGATAGTAAATTGTTTGGTTTCTATGTGCTACTAAAATTTAAAGTTAGGTGTACCTTCACCAAAGACTTCGTGATTCAGACAAATAAGGAAAGGATGGTCATTTGGGAATGAGTAAACTTTGTATAGATAATGATCAACAAATTCAAATTCTGAATGTTTGCTTATGCAACTCAATTTGTGACATTTGACCACCAAACAAAATTTCTCTCTTTTCTTCACACGCCTCTTGGTCCCGATCTCAAGTCAATGTACGTATCTTCAGCCATTCCACGTTTTTGATTGAACGGAGCGAACGAATATCGTGAATATTAGTTTCGAATCGAACTTAATAATTATTTTTATTTCATGAAAGCAAATTTTACAAGACAATACGATTAAGATTTCCATTCCGTTTTGTTTAATCGAGTGCACATATTTTTTTTCTTTGCAAAAGTGGGGAAAAAGTGGAAATTTCGCAGTAATTTTCATGCACTTTTTGGATTTTTTACTACCTTCTATTTCACACATAGGCTTAGTAGACTTTTGACCAATTAAAAGGTCGTAAAATGAAAGTTTCAGTTTGAAAATTTCACCCAAATAAAAAAAAAAAAAATCAACCTCATAACCCTTCAAATTTTGACCAATTAAAAGGTAAAAATGAAAGTTTCAGTTTAAAATTTTTGCCCAAAAAAAAAAAAGAAAAGAAAAATTCAACCTCATACCCCTTCAAATTTGTCGGTAATAATTTCTTTGTTAATCTCAATCTCTCTTGCACGTAATCATCTTATTCAACGCGCAATTACTTTCTAAATGTCAAATTAAAAAGTCAATAAATCCATCCCATCTCTTTTGGATAACAATTTGGTAAATTATAAAGAATTGTTGCTATTGATCATTTAAGTTGTGATTAATCCTGAAATTCGTAAAATGATTTTCCGAGAGAATTGGGTGTTTGATGCAGAAGAAGAAAATGTATTTTATGATGTGATGTAATGTGATGTGATAGAAAATATGTGTTTAAAAAATAAGGAAATTTTTTTAATTTGCGTGTAATATTATTTTATTGAAAAGTGTGTAGTTCAAAATGAATTTTGGAAAAATGAATTTTTTTAAGAATGTGTATCAAATAGCGGCATAATTGTCATTCACAGAAAATTCTAGAGAAAATAAATTGTGTACAACTGCACGCAAGTTTAGAAGAAGAAAGAAGAGTCCAATTTTATAAGAGTAATGCTATTAATCCACCGCCATATTGGAAGTGCATCCCACGGACATTGCTATCTAGGTTTTGTATGAAATTTTGGGTTAATGTGTGAGATAATGAGTGGAGAGAAAATAGATACAATGAAGGTGTAGCATTAGAAATCGTGAGAAAGAGTGCACGAAAGGTTGGAGTGTGATAAGTGTATTTTATACGTTTATTCGAATTTCAATTCTTATATATTTATTAGTTTATTGAGCAAATATTTACTTATTGTGTGTTTGATGGATATTGTTGGGGAAAGAATGTATTTTAAATAGTGATATGATGAGAAATATGTTGTTAAAAAGTAAGGAAAAGTTATCGATGTAATGTAAAATATTATTTTATTGAAAAATATATGGTTGAAAATGAGTTTTAAAAAATATATTTTGAAAGAATGTGTGCCAAACAGAAGTTTAGTTTATGTCAAATTATGTTAATTGTAAGTAAAAGTCAGATTTGACAAGTTTGGATGAAATTAGATCGAAACTATACAAGTTTGAGGAATTGGGGATCAAAAATAATCAAGTTTTGAATATGATGACTAGGGATGGACAAGAACTCAATGTGGATGACCAAATTACACTAAAATAGAAAAAAATTCAGCTTTTGTTGGATTCTTAATTTCATTCAAATTTTATATTGGAGATCCTTTATGACTTCTTTTTTGAGTTATTCTAGATTTCTATATATAATTTTAATTATTCTTTTTCATAGGACACACAATTTAAGAGAGAGAAAAATACATAATCATCAACATCAAACGGCAAAAAGTTAGGATTTAAAGACTTTTGATATTTAAGAAAAAAAATTGTGCAAGATTAAATTCTTTCCATCATCATGATTTCTAAACTTAGTTATGAACTCTATACTTGTTTATCATTTTTCTTTTGTTAGTATTAGTAGCTAGATTATTAGTTATGACGAATAATGTATATGTGTGACCCTTCAATTTAATTTTCGAGATTCTAGCACTTAATTTTATGTTTTCATTTTATTTATGGGGTTTTATACTTTGAATTACTTGATCAATAATTCAACAATCTTATGACTTTATAACGAATCGAGAAAGTAAGTTATAGATTTAGACCACATAGCAAAATTCGAGAATTGTATAAAAGTGTAGAAATATATTTTTTTGTTAACGCGGTCGTACATGGATTCTTATATATTTAAGGCATTTAATTAATATGTATCCGGATTCACACAAAAATATTGAATTTATTAATTATATAGAATCGATATGGTCTCAAGAGAGATAAATTGAACGCTTTAGTAGAATACGACTGAGCATTACAA